AAAAAAATATTTTTTATTTATAAGCTAAATTTTATCATACTAAAATTTATCAATAGTTAAAATGGTTTAAAATACTAAATATTAAAATATTAAAATAAAAATAATTACAAATACTTAAATAATAGTACCAAACTTTCAATAATAAAAGCATCAAAATGTCATAAAAATAATTCAAATTACAAATATATACGAACTAAACATAATTTTAATGTCATAATAATTTTAAAAAATTAAATACACAACTTAATATTAAAATCATAATATTTAAAAATATTAAATGTGAAGTCCGCGGACTAGCCCGCGAGCCCGCGAATTAAATCTGTCAAGTCTGCGGACTTAACGGGCCGGGCTAAAAAATTAGACATAATCATACGGATTTGAAAAAAACAGGCCCGTTATCCGCGAAATCCGCGGGCTTACGGACCTGTCCGCGGACCCGGGTCCATATAAAGGAAGTTTGAAATCTCATATTAAATCTAGTACTTAGAACGTGACGTTCTAAAGAAAACTAAAGGCGCTCGTGCAAATTCTCGATTCCATATTTTGTGAGACTTAGTACCTATGACGTGACATTTTAGGGAATAGTTTTAGGGGATGTTCACACACGAGCCAGGTGACTTATGGTGCTCTAACAATTTCCCATATACAAAAGCATAATAATTGCATTTTCATATTCATCACATACTCATCACATAATCTTGCACAATGCGTGAAAGTGAAAGGAAAAACAAGTATTGAGGCAAAGAAAATATCCCTGCGACACCCTTATTAGACACGCGCCAAGACCAGGATCATGGAGGGAGTAGTGGAAGATTTGGAACAACAACATGACGAGTTGAGAGGAGATGTTAATCAGTTGAAAGAACAAATGAGTAAGATTTTGGACATGCTACAATCAATGGAGTCAAGAAGGGATACAAATGGGAATTCGTCTGAGCAACCTCATGTTACACCTGCTTACCCCCCTGGGTTCACTCCTCCACCACAGCCAAACCAAAATACTCAGGTCCAGTTCCCTCCATATGGGTTACCCCAAGGCTATACACCACCGGTGGCTGCAAACACTTCAGAAAATGATTATCACGCTTCCACCATGAACCCTCAAAACCAGATTCATAATACTCAAACTCTATTCCCTCCATATGGCTTGCCTCCGGGATATACGCCACCAGTGGCTAATAATAATGAGAATAATCTCATTACCTCTGTCTTAAACCCACTAAACCAAACACAACCCCAAGATCCAAACCTTGAAACAAGT